GAACCCGCCACCTTAGATGTACGTGGCTGGCGCCTTAGCCGGTTGAGCTATAGGCGCTGAGCCTCTTTTTTTTTTTCTCTTTTACCTTTCTCTTTCCTTTCTCCCTTCTCACTCTTTATGCTTTTCTTCCTTTTATCAAAATGGTGGATTGCCTAAACTCATGAATTTGAGACAGCCTGAGCAAGAACAAGATCCCATCTCTAAAAAAATAGCTGGGTGTTATGGTGGGCGCCTATAGTCTCAACTACTCAGGAGGCTGAGGCAAGAGAATCACTTGAGCCTAAGAGTCTGAGGTTGCTATAAGCTATTATGCCATGGCACTCAACCCTAGAGAGACTGAGTGAGACTCTGTCTGAAAACAATTTTTTTTTCATTCCCCATACAAAGGCATGGAAATTAAACAATCTTATGCTAACTGACAGGTGGGTCAAGGAAGAGATAAAGGAGGAAATTATTAAATTCCTCAAACATAACAACAATGAATCTATGTTTCCAAAATCTGTGGGATACTGCAAAAGCAGTCCTATGAGGAAAATTTATCACATTAGTTACCTACATTTGAAAAATCGAAAGTGAGCAAATCAATAAGCCAATGAATCATCTTAAGGAAATGGAAAAGGAAGAGCAATCCAATCCCAAACCTAACAGAAGAAAAGAAGTAACCAAAATTAAATCAGAAATTAATGAAATTGAAAACAAAAGAATTGTCTCAGCGCCTGTGGCTCAAGTGGCTAAGGCGCCAGCCACATACACCTAAGGTGGTGGGTTCGAATCCAGCCTGGGCCCGCCAAACAATAATCATGGCTGCAACCAAAAAATGGCCAGGCATTGTGGTGGGCGCCTGTGGCCCCAGCTACTTGGGAGGCTGAGGCAGGAGACTCGCTTGAGCCCAGGAGTTGGAGGTTGCTGTGAGCTATGATGCCATGGCACTCTACCCAGGGTGACAGCTTGAGACTCTGTCTCAAAACAAAACAAAACAAAACAATCATTTGGAAAATTAATGAAACAAAAAGTTGGTTCTTCAAAAAGATAAATAAAATCAATATACCTTTAGCCAGATTAACTAAAAACAGAAGTAAAATCTCTAATAACTTCAATCAGAAGCAAAAAAGGAGAAAAAACAACAGATATCACAGGGATACAAAAAACTCTATGCCCAGAAATTTGATGTGGAGGAAATGGACCAATATCTGGAATCAAACCATCTCCCTAAACTTAACCAGGAAGATTAAGTCTTCCTGGTTAAGTCTTCTTCTCTTGAACAGACCAATATCAAGCACTGAGATTTAAGAAACAATAAAATATTTTTCAACAAAAAAAGAGCCCTGGACCAGATGGCTTCACACCAGAATTCTATCAAACCTTTAAGAAGAGCTTGTACTTTTATTACAGAACCTATTCCAAAACATCGTGAAGGAAGGAATCTTCTCCAGAATGTTCTATGAAGCAAACATCACTTTGATTCCAAAACCAGGAAAGAACCCAACTAAAGAGGAAAATTACAGGCCAATTTCACTAATGAATATCAATGCAAAAATACTCAAAATCTTACCCAATAGATTACAGCTACATATTTTAAAAAATTATTTATCACACACAGGGGTTTGAACGTCCTGTGGAGAGAGTGAGCAATCAGGCTATGAACCTGGGAGATGGTTTAAAGTTCAAAACTGAATTACTAGATGGGAAAACTATGCTAATATTGTCTCCATATTGATAGGAAATAAGACTAAGATTACAAAATGTCCTTTAAGAATGAAACAAACTGGACACCTTCTAAAATTAACACAAAATACTTGTATCAGGAGTAAAAACTTGGCTTGGCATCCAGAACACAGTGGTTACAGTGCCAGCCACATGCATGGAGGCTGGCAGGTCAAAGCCAGCCCAGGTCATCTAAATACTGACAACTGCAACAAGAAAAAAGCTGGGCGTTGTGGCAGGCACCTGTAATCCCAGCTACTTAGGAGGCTGAGGCAAGAGAATCTCTCAAGCCCAAGGGTTTGAAGTTGCTGTGAGCTGTGATGCCATGGCACTCTACTGAGGGCAATGTAGTGAGGCTCTATCTCAAAAAAGGAAAAAAAAGGCTCAGCGCCTATAGCTCAACCGGCTAAGGCGCCAGCCACGTACACCTAAGGTGGCGGGTTCGAATCCCCAGCCCGGACCCGCCAAACAACAATGACGGCTGCAGGCTGCAACCAAAAAAAAAAAGTAGCCGGGCGTTGTGGCGGGCGCCTGTGGTCCCAGCTACTTGGGAGGCTGAGGCAGGAGACTCGCTTGAGCCCAGGAGTTGGAGGTTACTGTGAGCTGTAATGCCACGGCACTCTGCCCAGGGGGACAGCTTGAGGCTCTGTCTCAAAAAAAAAAAAAAAAAAAGGGTGAAAACCTTTTGCAAAAGAAGACAGTTGTTTCAGAAACTTCAGAGGCAAAAGGCAAAAATATAAAATGACTTTTTCATCCACTAAGGATTTATGTAAGCAAAATGTAAATAAAGACTGTCTTCACACTGCACCTGTGGCTAAGTGAGTAGGGTTCCAGCCCCATATGCTGAGGGTGGTGGATTCAAATCTGACCCAGGCCAAAACTGCAGCAAAAAATAGCCAGGCATTGTGGCAGGTGCCTATAGTCCCAGCAATTTGGGAGGCTGAGGTGAGAGAATCACTTAAGCCCAAGAGTTTAAGTTGCTATGAGCTGTGACGCCACAGCACTCTACCAAGGGTGACAAAGTAAAAAACTCTGTCTCAAAAAACAAAAAACAACAATGAAAAACTGAAGCAAGAGGACTGCTTGAGCCCAAGAGTTTGAGGTTGCTGTGAGCTATGATGCCACAGCACTCTATCAGGGCTAACAAAGTGAGACTCTGTCTCAGAAAAAAAATTTTTTTAAATAATTTTATCAGGTGGCACCTGTGGCTCCAAGGAGTAGGTTGCCAGCCCCATATACTGGAGGTGGCAGGTTCAAACCTGGCCCTGGCCAAAAACTGCAATAAATAAATAAATAAAAATCATTTTATTATAAAGAAATGTACACTAGATTATTTGTTACAGTTCAATTTACAATTGCCAAGATGTGGAAACAACCTAAATACCCATCAACCCAAGAATGGATTAACAACCTACGGTATATGTATACCATGGAATACTATTCAGCTATAAAAAAGATGGATACTTTACATCTTTTATATTAACCTGGATGAAGCTGGAACACATTTTTCTTAGTAAAGTATCGCAAGAATGGAAAAGCAGATATCCAATATACTCAATACTAATATGAAGCCAGTAGATGACCTAATTCGCACCCACACAAGAGAAAAACTCAATTCAATTCAAGTTGGGGAGAGAGGAAACAAAGGAAGAGGAGAGAAGAGGAGGAGGAGAGGAGATTGGTGTGTTCCCACTCAAAGGGCACAATGTAAGGATATATGGCACACCTTTTGTGTACAGGACACAACTACAAGAGGAAGTCTATCTAACAAATGCATATATTGTAACCTAATTGTTGGTACCCTCAAATTAACCTGCATTTTAAAAAAAATAATTGGGAGAGAGTCTTATGCCATGTTTTACAGCATGCCCACCTCTACCCACTCAAGTGATGCTAGTAGTACCCTCCTCCTGTCTTGACAACTAAAAATGTCTTTCCAGACACTGCCAAGTGTCCTCAGGGCAGTGGTTGGGGGTGTGGGTGGGCAGAATTGCCCCCAGCTGTGACTAACTGGTTTTTAGAAACTCTTTCAGAGCTATGTCGAAATTGTAGGAAGGGCTCCTTGCTCTTAGTGAAGCACACCTGGATTGTATTTTAAAAGCAGAAACTTCAGCTCCCAAGAAGATACACAACCAACCGACAAATACATGAAAAGATGTTCACCATCACTAATCATCAGGGAAATGCAAATCAAAACCACAAGGAGATAGCACCTCACACTCACTAGGATGGCTACTATGAAAGAGATGGAAAATAACGAGAGTGGCAAGGATGTGGAGAAACTGGAGCCCTCATTCATTGTTGGTGGAAATGCAAAATGGTGCAGCTGCCGTGGAAACCAGTATAATGGCTCCTGAAAATATTGAAAATAGAATTACTATATAATTCAGTGATTCTACTTCTGGGAATATATCCAAAAGAACAGAGAGGAGAGACTTATATACCTGTGTTTATAGCAGCACAATGGATGATAGCCAAAAATGGAAGCAACCCAGTGGCCATCAACAGATGAAAAGATAAACAAAATGTGGTCCATCTACTCAATGGAATATGAGTGAGCCTTAAAAGGAAGGAAATTCTGCCATGTGCTACAACACGGATAAGCCTTAAGGACATCACTCTCAGTGAAATAAGGCAGTTACAAAAGACTGAAGAGTCTCACTGTCAGGCCGTCCCTCAAGCAGTCAAATGCATAGAGACAGAAAGTAGTAAATAGAATGGTGGGGCCGGGTGGAGTGGCTCATGCCTGTAATGCAAGCACTCTAGAAGGCCCAGGCAGGGGATTACATGAGCTCAGGAGTTCAAGACCAGCCTTGGCAAGAGTGAGACCCCAACTCTAAAACTAGCTGAGCATTGTGGCTGGTGCCTGTAGTCAGTGAGAAGAGAATACTCTTTTCTAGAGCTAAATCTACCTCATCTTCACTCTTAACCCCCTGTCCTTGCCTCCTGAATCAGAGTTCTCTTCTTTCTTCCTCTTCATAAAGTTCACCTTCTTCCCTGGCCCTAAGGTGAAATATTGGGACTGAACATCCCCATCACCCAGCTCGGTCACTAGACGTCTAGTAGTCATTTCTGGTTCTCCCTATTCCTCCCCCCATTCAATTGACCATTGAATGACATTCAAATGACCAAGTCCTGTTACTGTCTCTCGTTTATTCCACTCAGACTAAGCAAGTTTTTGTGGCTTGTGACTACAATCTACAACAGCAACACCACACTAGGTTGCCAATCTTTGGGATGGGACCTCAGGCCAATTTTCTTTTGGATTTTAAAGGACAAGTTGACATACTGGGGCTGAACATCCAAGTAGGTGTATGCTTTATACTCCCACCATTATTAACCTTTTCTCTGATGTTGGCTAAATTAAAACAAAACACAAAATATACATACCTAAAGATACGTTCCAAGAAGAATCTTCATAATTATAAATATAGACTTTTTGATTCACTACTAGCAGCAGTGATGAACCAATGAAATGTGCTGACGTTACCTGTGGCACACCAACCTAAAAGTAACAACATGCATGATATCAATAATGGCATCTTTTTGAACACTGATTCACAAAGCAGGGCTTCTAGATGTGCATTCAAAAAATGTTTATTTTGGTGTCAGTGATGAAAAATAGGAAAAGTGAAAAAGAGGGGAAAAAGGAAAAGATTTAAAACATATTTATGCCAGCAAGAGTTGGTTAATTCTTAGATAATGGGAACGACGTGTCCTGGGGCCAGGTGGGAAGCAGTATTGGGAAACTGAAGTTGGTCTCTAGTGCTCTTAGACACCTAAATTTATTCCACCTCTTTTTCCTTTATCAAAACCTTCTCTGAGGACAATACCTAAGGTATAAATGATGAATGACCAACATAACTAATAAATGTCACTTCTAAGAGAAATATTGGTATGTTAACAGATAAGACTATTTAGCACAGGGGCCAATAGTAGAATTTCTCAAGATCATTACTGAGAAGATGATTTTGCTGTTTTGGTTTAGGACAATTTAGCGAGGGCTTCAAATTGCTGCACGTAAAGTAAGATACCATCCAATCTATCTGTTCGTTACACATCAGTGTAAGGCAGATCACCTGCAACCATTCTGTTTCCTGTTTCAGAAAGAAAAAGCCTATTTTGGTAATAGAGGCATAATAAAACCAACTCTTCCTTTCACTTAGAGATTGTTCTTAACATCTTTAAGAGGAACTTTGTAAAATAAACCTCTAAACCAGTGATTTTTAATTGGTGTGCTATGGCACACTGGTGTGCTGTGAGAGGATTATAGGTATGCCCCCCCAAATTTTTAAAGATCATTGTATACAGTAAGTATATTCTCTTTTTTAAAATCAACATAATTTAAATGTGCTGCAGAAGTTTAACTATAGGTTCAAGTGTGTTGTGAGATTTAAAAAAGGCTGAAAACACTGCTCTAAACTACCAAAAACAGATGTTTCTAAACAATAATATCATCCCCAAATAGAATACATTTCCTATATCCTTCAGATTGTTTGGTAAGATAACTACCTGCAACGATGTAGGGATGGCAAATGGAAGGAGACTACTTTCAAAGTTATCTCTTGTGAAAAAAAGTTGTTTTCTGAAATTAAAAAAAAAATGAGTTAAAGTAGGACAATTTTACAAAAGAAAAGAAAAACGATAATGAAGGTATTTTTTTTTAATTAAATCATAGCTGTGTACATTAATACAATTATGGGGTACAATGTACTAGTTTTATACACAATTTGAAATACTTTCATCAAACTGGTTAAAATGGCCTTCACCACATTTTCTTAGTCATTGTGTTAAGATATTTATATTCTACCCTTAGTAGATGAAGTTACTTTTTAAATATTCTGTTTATTTACACTGTTGGTAATACTGCAAACCAATGCAACCTCTTTGGAAAGAAGTATGGAGAATTCTCAAAGAACTCAATTAGTCCTCCCATCTGATCCTGTAATCCCATTACTAGGCATCTACCCAGAAGAAAAAAAATCATTTTATCACAAAGATATTTGCATCAGATTGTTTACTGCAGCTCAATTTACAATCGCCAAAATGTAGAAACAACCTAAATGCCCATTAACCCAGGAATGGATTAATAAACTGTGGTATATGTGTACCATGGAATACTATTCAGCCATAAAAATGGTGGAAACTTTACATCTTTTGTATTAACCTGGATGGAGTTCAAACACATTCTTAGTAAGTATCACAAGAAAGGAAAAGCAATTGTCCAATGTACTCAATACTAATATGAAGCCAGTAAAAGATCTAATACATACCCATACAAAAGAACTCAATTCCAGTTGTGGTGGGGAGAGAAGGAAAGAGAAAAAAGGGGGGAGGGGAGGACTGGCACACTGTCACCTAATGGGCACATTATAAGGGCATATGGGACACCTCCTGGGTGCAGAACACAACTACAACAGTGACTTAAAGCAAACATTGTAACCTGATTGTTTGCACCCTCATATTAATCTGAAATTTTAAAAAATGTTCCATTTAAACAAAATTCCTTTTTTAAATAGAAACCATTTAGTAGGTATCATTTACTTATTTTTGTATGCATAAACCTCTATAGTCCAGGTATTTAACTTTTTTTCTTTTTTTAGATAGGGTCTTGTTATTTTGCCTAGCCTAGAGTGAAATGGCATCATCATAGATCACTATAACTTTAAACTTTGGGGTTCAAGCAATCCTGCTTCAGCCTCCTGAGTAGCTGGGACTATAGGCATGGGCCACCATGCCTGGCTAATTTTTCTATTAGAGACAGGGCCTTACTCTTGCTCAGCTGGTCTCAAAGACTTGGCCTCAAGTGATCCTCCAACCTTGGCCTCCGAAAGCACTAAGATTACAGTCCTGAGCCACTGCAGTGGGCCTAGTATTTGACTTCTTGAAGTGACATTTAAAAGTATGACCACATCTGGCTTGATGCCCATGCTCAAGGGCGCTGGCCACATACACCAAGACAGGCAGGTTTGAACCCAGCCCAGACCTGCTAAACAATAATAACAACTACAACAAAAAATAGGCAGGTGTTGGCTCGGTGCCCATAGTACAGTGGTTATGGCACCAGCCACATGCACTGAGGGTAGTAGGTTTGAACACAGCCCTGGCCAGCCGTACAAAAAATAGCCAAGCATTATCGTGGGCACCTGTAGTCATAGATACTTAGGCTGAGGCAAGAGAATTGCTTAAGCCCAGGAGCTTGAGGTTGCTGTGAGCTGTGATGCCACAGCACTCTACCAAGGGCGACATAGTGAGACTCTGCCTCAAACAAACAAACAAAAAAATAGCCAAGTGTTGTCATGAGCGCCTGTAGTCCCAGCTATTTGGGAGACTGAGGCAAGAAAATCTCTTAAGTCCATGAGTTTGAGGTTGCGGTGAGCTATGACATCACCGTACTCTACTGGGGGCAACACAGTAAGACTCTGTCTCAAAAAAAAAAAAAGTATGACCACATCAAATATAAAAAGTACATCAAGTGACAGGAAGAACTTCTGTTGTGTAATTTACATGGCACTAAACCCACTAAAGTAAGCAGTTTTTAGACCAGAAATGTGTATATAAGAATCAATCTGTTGGCCGGCACCTGTGGCTCAATGAGTAGGGCGCTGGCCCCATATACCCTACGGTGGAAGGTTCGAACCTGGCCCCAGCCAACAAAAAAATAGCCGGGCGTTGTGGTGGGTGCCTGTAGTCCCAGCTGCTCAAGAGGCTGAGGCAAGAGAATCGCCTAAGCCCAAGAGCTGGAGGTTGCTCTGAGCTGTAACACCATGGCACTCTACCAAGAGCGACAAAATGAGACTCTGTCTCTAAAAACAAAAACAAACAAAAAAAAGAATCAATTTGTTCTAGGAAATGTTTAAGAAGGGATAAGCCATCCATGAACACAGTATACCATTTCATTATTCAGGCCTCCTTCTCCCTACCCCCTGAAAAGTTTTAAGGTTTTTGACAGAAACGAGTTACTGAGTTAATCCTATGTGTTTAAAAGTTCTTGTTGCTATTTTCAGTAGCATTTTTCATAACTGCCTTTTATAATTGGTCATGGCTAATTGATAAGAGAGCTACTGATTTTTTTTTTTTTTTTGAGATAGGGCCTCAAGCTATCTCCCTGGGTAGAGTGCCATGGCATCCCATCTCACAGCAACCTCCAACTCCTGGGCTCAAGCGAGTCTCCTGCCTCAGCCTCCCAAGTAGCTGGGACCACAAGCGTCCACCACAACGCCCAGCTACTTTTTGGTTGCAGCTGTCATTGTTGTTTTGGTGGGCCTGGGCTGGATTCAAACCCGCCACCTTTAGGTGTATGTGGCTGGTGCCTTAGCCACTTGAGCCACAGGCGCCAAGTCATACTGATTTTATTTTTTAAAACATTTTATTTTTTACTTTATTTTGTTTGCTGTTTTTGGCCACCTCTGGTATGTGGGGCCGGTGCCCTACTTGAGCCACAGGTGCCACCTGAGCTATTGTCTTATACTTGGCCATTTTGCTGCAACCAATTATTACTTCTAATAACTCTTACATTTGGTTTTGGCAAACATCTCTTTGTTTCAAATTGTGTTTTATGATGCTTATCTCTTTTTCTCATCATATTGCATTGACTAGGATCTCTACTTCAAAGTTGGATTAAAGTGTTATGACTCTCTCTTGGTTATTTTTTACCTTCACATTGTCCCTTTTACAGGATTATATACTGTCAGCACATACCCAGTCAACCAAAACCCATAAAAAATTGGCTGGGGAGGCTTGGTGCCTGTGACTCAAGTGGCTAAGGCGCCAGCCACATACACTAAGGTAGCAGGTTT